GCAGCCTACGCCATTGCCGGCGACTCACAGCAGCCCAGCTCCAGGTTGAGCTGTTGTTCAGCATCTTAGCTGTGGAGGGCAGTGTCACTGGCCCATATGTGGGATCCGAACCGGGGCCCTCTGGCTTCCCAAGCCAGCTCTTAACCATCACGCCACTCGGCCGGCCCAGCTTTTGCCTTTTTATTCTGACTACTGCCTACATATCTTTGGCAAGAAAGGAGTCACATGACTGACACTAGATGCAAGGGAACCAGGGAGATTGGATCAAATGTTTTAACTGGGCGTGTTGCCACCCTGAGCAAATCACAGTTCACTTTGTTAGGAAGAAGGAGTGTGTGGCATTGTGTAGGCAACTAGGAGTGTGTACCACTTGTCAAAGTATAATCTTCAAAATGTTAAAAACATAATACTCATATATGTCATATAGTGAACATGAGTCAGAATTTTAGCATCACTCATTAATGAGGGAACTGGAAGGATGACAAAGGCAGTTCAAAGGAGGATATGAGACGCTGATGTCTGTATCTATATATAACTATGTCAGTGAAAAAAAGGAGTAATATTGCTAAGTTAGATACAAGTCCACTTAATGTCCTACAGGGCAACAAAACCCATGACCTTTGGGATTATCTTTTCTGCCTGACAAAAATTATTTACATCGGATCAAGTTTCTACAAGTTAATATTTAACTTTAGAGTCTGCATCCAAACCAATCAAAAATGGTCAATACAATTCTCATTCCCCCAGAGATTGAGACGGTTCTAGGCAGGCTTGTTAGATAGTTGTGTTCAAGCGAGGTCCCTGGATCAGCATCATCTGGGCACTTGTTAGGACGCACATATTCAGGCTACCCAGACCTGCTGAATCAGATACTCTAGGGGTGACTCCCAGCAATCTGTTACTGTCATACATGCTCAAGTTGGAGAGCCACTATTCTAGTAGGACATTGGAAGGACACAATGTCATCTTGTTACCGTATTTCCAGATTTGGGGTAATTTTTCTAAATATACCCAGGCTACCCAGAGCCTGAGGGAAAGGTAATGGGGCCATTGTGATTGGCTGAGAGGACCCTCCAATCAAAATAAAACCAGGGCACCTGCAGCAGGGGAGCATAGGAACAGCGGTAAGGTCGTTCACCAGCAGTGTTCGAGGCACATGCCACAGGGCAGGCAGCTCTCTTACCTCCCCTCACCTGCCCTGTGTCTTCCCTCAAGGTGTATAAGTGTGTGGTCAAAAGCTGCGCCCAGACATTCCCGAAGCTTGACACGTTTCTGGAGCACATCAAAAGCCACCAGGAGGAGCTGAGCTACCGCTGCCACCTCTGCGGCAAGGACTTTCCCTCCCTGTACGACCTGGGTGTGCACCAGTACTCCCACAGCCTCCTGCCACAGCACAGCCCCAAGAAGGACAACGCGGTCTACAAGTACGTGCCATCCCACTCCCATTTCCCCAGGGAGCCCAGGGGTCTGCAGCCTTGGTGGTTCTGATGGCTCAGGACCAGTGAGACACCTCAAAGGGGAAACTGAATCTCAGGCTGACATAGTGGGTTCTGAGCCTTGGCATTGGTGGGGAGAAAGATGCTAGCCCTCCTTATAGCATTCTTCAACTTGGCAGACATTTATTCTTCAAAAAAATCCTTAAAAAGGGAAAACAGCCTTTCTTTGTTCGTAGAAGTATTCTGAAAAATTCAAGGTAAAATTCAGCACACTTTTAGGTCATGTTTTCCCCTTTAATTATTTAGGATGCTTTTTTCTGAATACCCTCCAGGTTTTTCAGTATCTTTCTTTTTCTTTTCTTTTTCCTTTTTTTTTTTTTTTTTTTAATTGGGGAACAGTGTGTTTTTCCAGGATCCATCAGCTCCAAGTCAAGTAGTTGTTTCAATCTAGTTGTGAAGGCCGAATCTCAGTGGCCCATGTAGGGATCGAACTGGCAACCTTGGTGTTAAAAGCACTGCGCTCTAAACAACTGAGCTAACCAGCCGCCCCTCAATGTCTTTCTTAAAATACAAACTGTAAAAACTAGAAAAGTCATTCTTAAAACACTCAAGAGATGTTAAATATATCTTAACTCAAACTAATATATCATCGTCTCACAATATGGAATTTTTATTCACTGATTATTTTTCCCATTACTGAAGAAATACATTTCACCTGGTTTGACTATACTGCTGTCAATATTTTACTTATAATATCTGTACACCTTAATTATACATCTTATATTTGTAATTCCCTAATAATTAACCACAATGAATCCTTTCTGAATGAAGGATATAAATTTATATAACAGTTTGTACAAACTTTAATAAAACATCCAATTATTAAAAAAAAAAAAGGAATGGTACAAAGAAGTCTCACAAATACTGTTCACCCAGATTTTCCAAATGTTAAGTTTTTACCACCTTGGTTTTTTCCTATTCTGAGCCATTTGAGAATAATTTACAGACATGATGCTTCTTTTTTTTTTAGATTTTTATTGGGGAATCGGGGAGGAGAACAGTGTTGGGGAATTAGGGAAAGGGAACGTTGTGTTTTTCCAGGATCCATCAGCTCCAAGTCAAGTTGTTGTCCTTCAATCTTAGTTGTGGAGGGTGCAGCTCAGCTCTAAGTCCAGTCATTGCTTTCAATCCAGTTGCGGGGTGGGGTGGGGTGGGGGGAGGCACAGTCCACCATCCCATGCAGGAATCAAACTGGCAACTTGGTTGCACACTGAGCCATCCAGCAGCCTGCGGCTGCTCAGCTCAAGGTGCTGTATTCAATCTCAGTTGTTGGGGGGGCGCAGCCCACCATCCCATGCAGGTGTCAAATCAGCAACCTTGCTGCTAAGAGCACGCGCTCTCACCAACTCAGCGGCAGCTCAGCCGCAGCTCAGCTCAGGCGCAGCTCGGGCGCAGCTCACTGGCCCATGTGGGAATCAAACCGGAGACCCTGTTGCTCAGAGCTCGTGCTCTTAACCAACTGAGCCACTCGGCCGACCCCCCAGACATGATGCTTCTTTACCCCTTCTCTTTAGTGTGTATTTTCGAAAAACAAGGATAACCTCTTACCTACATAAGCATGGTATAGTTAACAAAATCAGGAAGTTAAATCAAGACAACTCTTATCTAATCTACAGACCTTATTCAAAAATTTCTAACTGTTCCAATAACATCCTTTATAGACAAAGAGAAAAGTGTTTTTTCAGGCCCAGGCGCCCATCCAGGATCACACATTGCATTCAGCTGCCATGTCGCTTTAGTTTCCTTGAAGCTGGAACCATTCCTCATTCTGTCTTTGTCTTTCATGACGTTGGTATTTTTGAAAAGCATAGGCCAGTTCTTTTGCAGAATGCCCTCCATTTGGATTTGTCTGATTTGACCTCAGGTTAGATCCAGGATTGGCACTTTTGGCAGAAATATCACAAAGTGACGCTGTGCCCTTCTCAGTGCATTATTAGATCAGGAGGTACATGACGTTGGTTTGCCCCGTTGCTGGGGATGTTACCTTGGATGACTTAGTTAGGGGGGTGTTCTGGCAGGGAGTTCTAATTCTAATGCTTATTGGTAAACTACCTCCCCCACAACCCTGTCTTCTCACCGCGGAGGCGGGTGCAATTCCTGTCCTCTCCCTCCCACCAGCTTATGAGGTTCTTGCCCTTCTGTTCCCACCCCACATCCTCTTCCCATCTTGCCATAGAAGCGTTTAGCCTGTGGTCTTCAGCGTGTGGTCTGACGGCCTCCCCTGAGCCTGCCGCAGGTGCAGCTTGCCTGTGGGGTTTCCCACGGTGGCCCTGGTGTACAGATGGCAGGGCCCATGGTTTTGTTTTTGGTATGAATGGCCCACTCACCTGTGGCATTCCTCACTGGCACTTCATTGTAAATGGGTCCATTTGCTGGCAAATGTTTCCTTGGTGGGGAGATGGTAGGGTCTTCTTCAAAGTGGCTTGTGGCCTGAAACTGGTGTTTCAAAGCATGTTAGCCACAGTGATGTAAAGACTGTGTTTATAGTAAATACCATGTCTATAGTGCTCTGCGGTTTATGAATCGTTTAGCACAGTTGTGTTTTTTGACTCTTGTGACAATCTTAAGAATGAATGAGAGGCAGGTCAATTTGGGATTCCTACCCCATCTTATGGTTGAGGAAACTGAGGGTCAGAGACGGGAAAGAACCAGGTCTGGATCCTTGTCTGTCTGACTTTTTCGTATAACAGATTGTCAGTGGCACTCAGAGCAGTTTGTGAAAAAGACAGATATGGTCCGTGCCTCCAGAGCCCACTTGCTGGTGGAGGAGACAGATAATAATCAAGTAAGCAAATAAAATAATTCCAGGTAATAAGTGCTATGAAGAAAATCTGGGTGACATAATAGGGAATGGTGGTAGGGGGTGAGGGGCAACTTGAGACACAGTGGTCAGAGAGGGCTTCTCTGAAATTTGAGCTGAGACATGAAGGATGAGAAGGTGCTGCCCAGGGGGAGACTTGGCGAAGAGTGTTCCAGATCATAGGAACAGCATGTGCAAAGGCCCTGAGGTGGGATCAAGTGTGTTTGAGTTACATCAAGAAAGCTAGGGTGGCTGGAGCAGAGTGAGTGAGTGAAGTGGGTAGTGGAGAAGGATGAAGTCTGAGAGGTAGAAGTGAATCAGTCCAGCAGGGCCTTTAGGCCAAGGTGGGAACTTTTAAGCAAGAGTGTGACATGGTCTGATTTCGATTTTTAAAGGCTCCCGCTGGCTCCACTGTGGAGAATGGACTACAGAGGGTGGAGTAGGGCAGGGAGGCCAGTTAGGAGGCTACTGTACATGTCAGCGAGAGAGGATGGCAGCTTGGACTAAGATGGAGACAGTGGCAAGCGAGAAGAATAGACTTATTTGAAAATGAATTAAATGTAAAATTTTACCTCCTAATGTTGGCCCTAGGGGCTGATTCTTGGGCCTGCTGAGCAAGTCTAACCGCCCCCGCACTGTTCTCTCACTTCTGCATCTTCCCATTTAGATGTGTCAAATGTGTCAACAAATACTCTACCCCTGAGGCCCTGGAGCACCACTTGCAGACCGCCACTCACAACTTCCCCTGCCCGCACTGTCAAAAGGTGGGTAACCCTGTGATATTAAGGGATGAGAGGCAGTGGAGTGAAGACCTCATTGTCTCCTTCTCCTCTCCTTGTCTGTATGTGCAGACAAGACTTGGAATTATCTCCACAGACGACATTTCATCTTTGAAGAGTAAGAGCTCTGCCTGACCTGTCTTACCCATCAGACACCACATGCGGCCATCTGGGGCTGCTCCTGGTCCAGGCCAGGCCAACTGGGCTGATGTGGGGTGAGGCCCCTCCTGGGTCCAGGTTCAGCATCTGAACAGCGGCCTCTAGCTTCCTGATGTGTTATTTTCCTTGTTATTATTGGTCCTTCTTTTCAGCAAATCTGGAAAGCCTCATTAAGCCTGTCCCTTAATATCATCAAATATCTAGGCCATGTGCCAATTTCCAGTTGTCTCAAAAACATAATTTTTGTAAAGTTTGTTTTTTGGATCAGGTCTATATACTGCGATTGGTTGATATGACCAAAGTTTCTTTTAATCTATAGGTTCCCCCCATCATTGCTTTTTTTTTTTTTCCCCTCTTCAATTTATTTATTGAAGAAACTGGGCCATCGGTCCTGTGGAGTTTCCTGAAGCCTGGATTTTGCTGATTGCATCCCCCTGGTGTGTTCAACTTGTTTCTTTGTTCTACTCATTTTCTTACAACCTTACATGGCAGATTTTCCAGGCAGCTCTGGTATCACTTCGGCCTCGTAGATGTTTCTAATTATATAGTCTAATTTTGAGCTTTGGAATTTGTGGTCCATGTGAAAAGATATCATGAATTAAGTAAGAACCACGAGCCAGATGCTCTTCTGAATGTTTTATCCCTATGGACTCATTTAACCCTAGGAGGTTGGCATATTATTACTGTCCCTTTTAACAGATGGGGAAACCAAGGCACGGAAAGTTCACCCAGCTAGGAAATGGTGGGGCTGATAAATAGTAGGGCAATTGGGTTTGTCCCTGACTACATCTCTATACCAAATGAATGAAAAAAATGAATGACTTGTCTATCCTATAACTGGGGAAGAAGGAGATTTTGGCTTCTGTGTTTTCTGGCTTTTTACTACCTTTTCATTCATTTTCTTTCAGTTATTTTTTTCATTTATGCTTTTACTTGTCAGTCATTTGACTCAGGCCCTGTTCTGGGGAGTGAAAGCCCCTCTCTGTCCTCATGGAGATCCCGTGTAAGCAAAGGGCTGTAATTCAGCACGTTCAATGCTGACTTTTAAAATGTGGGTGGATATTCAAGGGCGGAATTTGCCTTGCTTGCCGTGGCATTGTGGAGTTAGGGCAGGCTTCACAGAGCGGTGACACCTGATGAGTAGGGTCTTCAAGGATGGGGAGGGGTTTGTCAGGCTAAGAGAGAAAGGCCCTCTGGGTAGGAAAAAGAGCCTGGGCAGACGCTCAAAGCAGGCATGGGTGAGAGTGGGAGCCATGATGTTCTCAGGGCTGTGCGTGAAGTTGTGGGCCCCGACCCCGGTGAGCAGAAAGGAAGGTGTTTCCTAAAGGAACAGCTGGCAATGAGGGGTCCCTGGAGCTCAGAAAATGACTAGGGCTGGTGACTCAGACCTAAAGCCAACTCCTTTCTTCTGCCAGGTGTTTCCTTGTGAACGCTACCTACGGCGTCACCTGCCCACACATGGCAGCGGGGGCAGGTTCAAGTGCCAGGTGTGCAAGAAATTCTTCCGGCGGGAGCACTACCTCAAACTGCATGCTCACATCCACTCAGGTGGGTACCCTGCTCCCCGCCAACTCCTGCCACCTCACTTTCCGCATCCCCAACCCCCTCTTTGTTCTTCTCGTCCCTTTCAGGCTTTCCTCCCCATCTTTCTCTCGCCCTCTTCCCCATCCTCCTCCTGCCCCCTTGCCCTCTCTATCTCCTTCTTGCCCCCTACTCACCTGCCCTCTCAAAGGAACAAGGCATTCCCACCAACAGTAGAGCAGAGACTAGCCCCTCGGGCTGATGGGAGTTCTCTTGGCTCTGCCCCCTGAGAGTCAGCCCCCTCAGATCATTCTGAGTTCCTGGGGTTGGGGGCACTGTTCTCATTGCAAAATTACCACCCAAACCTTGACAAAACCCTCTCTCCTTGATCCCCCAGTTGAGACACATTGACTTTTTTTTTTAATCTTTACATTTTTTTTATTAGTTAAAAAATTCTGGTTTTCTTTTTCATTGAAAAGGATCAAAAGATTGAGAAAACCTGAGGAGAAAATTCTTGACAATGCAAACGCATATAAAATGAAAATAAACCCCCCTCCTACTTCAGGTGGATAATTCAAACATTCCTCAATTTTTTTTTACCTATGGTAAAAAAAGTACATTTTATATTGCAACTCAGGAAACATATATATATATATATATATACACAGGATATATTGAAATAAGTTTCACAGCACCATATTTTCTATTCTGTTCTGTTCAGTTTTAGTTGTTAAAATAATGACCAACAAGTTGTGACTCAGTTTGCAGTTTGAAAAATACTCTTTCTTCCCTCCCCAAAGGCACAGGCAACAGCTATCAGTGGTCTAGTTTGTGTCATTCTAGTTTTATTTTACATGTATACAAACACTTGCTTACTTTTACACAAATTAGCACATATTATAATTCCATCATGTACCTTTTTTCTTCAATATACGTTATCACTATACCTTGAAAATGTTCCTTTAAGGCACCTTCTTTTCCTTGGCTGCATAGTATTTGTTAGTATTCCTCTGCATTTACCATCTCTTATTTAGCCAGTTTCCTATAATGAATCCTTCAATTATTTTTCACCTGTTAGTTTGTACACACAGTACTGTGTGGGTTCCTTGGCAAGCTTTTGGGAGTACACCTGAGTGTATCTTCTTAGTAGTGGAAGTGCTAGGTTAAAATGTATATATGTAAGTATTGAGTTTCAGTTTGGGATGCTGAAAAGGTTTTGGAGATGGAGGTGGTGATGGTTGCACAACAATGTGAATATATATATATATATATTTTTTTTTTTTAATTTTTTTTTTTAATTGAGGAACAGTGTGTTTTTCCAAGACCCATCAGCTCCAAGTCAAGTAGTTGTTTCAACCTAATTGTGGAGGGCACAGCTCAGTGGCCCATGTGGGGATCGAACCGGCAACCTTGGTGTTATGAGCCCTGGGCTCTAACCAACCGAGCTAACGGGCCTCCCCAACAATGTGAATATACTTAATGCCACTGAACTATACACATGAAGATGGTTAAAATAGTAAATTTTATGTTACGTATATATTACCACGTGGCTTTTTAAATGATTATTATTCAAAAGTAATATATTTTTATTGTAAAAATGAAAGCAGTATAGAATTCCATAAGGTTAAATATTAAATTCCCCCTTCAAATCCTAATTGCTACTGACAGTTTGGTGTGTACCATCCCTCACTTTTCTCCCTGCATATTCTGTGTTTATACAAACACACATGGCTTGAGTTTTTGGGTTTTTTTGGAGTGTGGGAATTGTACTTTTTTCCAGCAAAAATGGGACTGTGTTAAGCTGTTCTACAGCTTTCTTTTCCTCTTAGCAATATGTCCAGGAGATCTTTCCAGATCGAGAAACACAGATCGACCTTAATCTTTTTAATGACTACAGAGCATTCTATTGTAAGGACCAGAATTTCCTTAATCATTGGGGGTGGGAGGGGCGGTTGGCATTTTTCAAAAGTACTTTATTCGTTCCACAGGGAGAATAGAGAAGAAATAATGGCAGGAAATCAAAATAGCCCAGTAACAACCCTTTTCCGAAGGGCAGGTTGTGACCCCAGCCCCGGTCAGGTGAGAGCTGTCCCCCTAATGGTTCTGCCCCAAGTCGATCTGGGCGACTCAGGCTGACTGTGGATCCTACTGCTGGGCTAGAGTCTTAGCTCTCCCAACCGCTAGATGTAGGCCACGAACTTCAGTTTTCTCATCTGTAAAATGGGATAATGATAGTACTTACCTCGTGGTTTGTTGCAAGGATTTAATTGTATGTAATTCCCCCTTCTTCCATGGTGGACCCCGTTTCAGTGAAGGCCATGACCACCCACCCTGTCCCTTGGCCCACTTCAGTCTCATTCTTGACTTTTCCTTTTTTCTCACACCCCACAGCCAATCCATGGCCAAGGGCTGCCAGTTCTGCTTTCCAAACATAGCCTGTACGTGATCACTTCCTGTTTCTTGTACCTGCCTCTACCCTCACCGCCCTCAGTCTCTTCTCTATACACAACCAGAGGGAGCCTGTGAAACTCTGCAGGCAGATCCTGGACCTGTTCTGCTCAGCCCCTCTGGTGGTTTTTCATCTGGCTCAGAGGAAAAGCCGAAGTCCTTCCTGGGCCTTCCAGGCCCTCCTGTTAGGCCAGGCAGCCTCGCTAACCTCGTCGTCTGCCTCATTCTCCACCTCCCCACTCCATTCCGGCCACACTGGCCTCCCCATTGTTCCTCAGACACACCAAGCGCCCCCACCTTTCCTTCTGCCTGGGATCCTCACTCCCAGATTTCCACACGGGTTGCTCCCTTACTACCTCAGGTCTCACCTCACGTGTTGCCCATCAGAGAGGCCTTTCCTAACCACCCTATCTAAAATGGTTCCCTCTCGGCTGACCGAGTGGCTCAGTTGGTTAAGAATTAGCTTAAGAGCGCGAGCTCTGAGCAAGAGGGCCTCCATTTCGATTCCCACATGGGCCAGTGACACTGCTCCCGAGCTGAGCTGCCACTGAGTTGCCAACAGGTGGCAGGATGGCTCAGCTGGTGAGAGCACGTGCTCCTAACAACAAGATTGCCTGTTCGGGATGGTGGGCTATGCCCGCCCACAACTAAAGACTGAACTTGGCACCTGGAGCTGAGCTGCCGTCTGGATGGCCCAATGGATAGAGCATGCGCTCTTACAACAAGGCAGCTGGTTTGACTCCCGCATGGGATGGTGGCTACGCCCACCCACAACTAAGATTGAACACAGCACCTTGAGCTTAGAGACAACGAGCTGCCGACAGGCAGCCAGGTGGTGACTGGTGCCCTCCACAACTAAGATTGAAGAACAACAACTTGGCTGGTCCCCTTCCCCAATTCCCCAACTGTTCCCCTCCCCCAATTCCCCAGTTAAAAAAAAAAAAGATAATAAAATGGTCCCCTCTCCTTGGAAAAGCAAAGCCATGAGGAATGGGAGAGGCTATTTTCTCCCAGGCCACCTCCCTAGAGGAGCTGCTGTCCTCTAGTGCCCCCCACCCCATGCCCCATGTTCAGACTCCTTCTCATGGGATCCTCATCTCCATCCTCGCGTCTCCTCCTGCAGGTGAGAAGCCCTACAAATGCTCAGTGTGTGAGTCTGCATTCAACCGCAAGGACAAACTGAAGAGACACATGTTGATCCATGAGCCATACAAGAAATACAAATGCCCCTTCTCGTGAGTAGAGACTGGCATGGAGCGGGCATAAGTTTACCCAGGGGTGGGACAGAAAGATGTGAGGTCTGAGGGCTGAAGACCCTCTCTCCTTTTATCCTGTCCGGAGCCCTGCCTGCCAGCTTCACTCCCCATCCTGCTGCTTTGCTCAACCATGAGGGTTGACAGGGGGTCCTTATGCCCAGGGCTAGCAGAGGGGCCAGCAAGAGGGTCCTGAACTTGGTGAGCACCCCCTGACCAGTCGCTTTGGGTTCCAGGACACACACAGGCTGCAGTAAGGAGTTCAACCGGCCGGATAAGCTGAAGGCTCATATCCTCTCCCACTCTGGTAAGTGGCACGTGGACCTGCCAGGAGGGTCTGGTTCGGTGTAAGTCCCCTGGGGCCGGCCCTGCAGACACATCCCGTGAGGCTTATTATCCTCATCTGGTACATTCCAGCCAACAGACTTTTGCTCATGTGAGTCATGAGCCAGGCTTGTGTCAGAGTCCTCAGGGTACACAGAGGTGATTTAGACACAGCCCCCATGGCTGAGGGGAAGCCGACCTGAGAGGAGGTAATTATTATGTAAATCAGAGAGGTGCCAGTGTGATAGAGGTGTGGATCAGGTGTGGTGGGAGATCAGATCCTGACTGGGTCCAAGATAAGGCCGGGAAGGTTCCTGGATAGCCTCCCAGAGCAGGGCAGCTGGGATGGGAAGCACGGGTCTCTACACCACTCCTCAGTTCCCAGGGGCTCCATGGCGCTTTCCCAGAGCAGCATGACTGGCTTTCCACATACCGTTAGGTCCAGAACAGGGTTTCTCTCCCTTGGCACCATCGATCTTCAGGCAGGATAATTTGTTGTCTTGGGGGGCTGCCGCGTGCACTGTAGGATGTTTAGTAGAGCCCCTGGCCTCTACCCATTAATGCCAATGGCATCTCCCCCACATTTATGACAACCAGAAATTTCTCCAAGGGACAAGCCAAAAGTCCCCCAGGGGGTAAAATTGACACTGGTTTTCAGAAAGGATTTAGTGGCTAAAGGAAGTTTGAAAACTGGGAGAGTAGATGAAGGGCTTAGAGACAGAGGGCCTGCGTTTGAGTCTTGGCACTGCTACTTTCTTGCTGGGTGGCCTCAGGCAAGTCACCTCATCTCCCTGAGCCAGGGAGGCTGAGGGGGCTGTGGCCCAGGCTGAGTGTGGGCTGGAGTTGACTTCATACACACATGGAGGCACCAGTGATTCATTCGGTGAGTGACTATTAAGAACCTACCACATGTCAGGCACTGGGGGTGCCATGGGGGAATCAGTCAGGCAGAACCTCCCCCTGCCCTCCTGGGGAAGCTTAGCCTTCAGTGGTGGAAACTGACAATGAATAGCAAACAAATAATTATGTAGCAGCAAAGTATGCTGAGTGTGGAGAACGAAATAAGCAGGGTGATGGGGCAGAGAATGAAAGGGTAAGTATCAGGGAGGGCCTACCAGAGGAGGTGACATGAAACTGAGTCCTGAGAAAACTAGGAAATGACTTCCAGGGCGAGGAAGTAGCAAGTGCAAAGCCTTGAGTCAGGGAAGAGACTGAGGTGGTTAAGACAAGGAAAGACAGGAGGGAGGCCCGGCGCTCAGAAAACAAAGCGGGGGGAGGGGGGCGCTGTCTGAGAGGTGAAGGGGTGGTCAGACTGCAAGGGGCTTTGTGGGAAACTTGGGGAATCATTGGAGGATTTGGAGCAGGGAATATCGTGACCTTCTGTGTGTTTTATGAAGTCTTTTACTAGCTTCCCTATAGGGAATGGTCTGAAAGGGCCGGGCTGAGGCAGACAGACGAGGGCGGAGAGAGATGATGGTGACCTGGCAAAGTGAGCCAAGGTTTGGGGGCTGAGCATTACTATTCCAGGCAGAGGGAAACAGCAAGTACACAGACCCAGAGGTAGGAGGCAGCTTGACTCATTGGAGGAGAGTGAGCGTGACTGGCACGGAGTGGCTGGGAGAAGGTGGGAGATGAGGCTGGAAGCAGCAGGGCCCAGATCACACGGATGCTTGTAGGCAAGCCGAGAGACGGGGTTTTATCCCCAATGCAGGGGCACTGTTGCAGGGTAAAGGTGCCTCTCACTGCCTTCCCTTCCCCACCAGGCATGAAGCTCCACAAGTGCGCCCTGTGCAGCAAGTCCTTCAGCCGCCGTGCCCACCTCGCCGAGCACCAGCGCGCCCACACGGGCAACTACAAGTTCCGCTGTGCTGGCTGTGCCAAGGGCTTTTCCCGCCACAAATACCTCAAGGATCACCGCTGCCGCCTCGGCCCCCAAAAGGACAAGGACCTGCAAGGCCGGCGGCCCCCCCGGAGGAGGGCAGCCCCCCGCAGTGGCTCTAGTGGTGGACGCAAGGTGGTGACCCCACTGCCTGACCCACTGGGGCTAGAGGAGCTGAAGGATGCAGGGGCTGGGCCAGTGCCTGAGGCTGTCCCAGGCAAGCCACCCTTCTCAGAGCCAGACGCCGTGCTGTCCATCGTAGTGGGTGGCACGGTGGGTGGGGAACCTGAGCTGGTAGTGCCTGGGCATACCGAGAGCCTGGGCTCCAACCTGGCACTGGCAGAGCTGCAGGCAGGGGCCGACGGTCCGTGTGCCATGCTTGCTGTGCCCGTCTACATCCAGGCCTCGGAGTGATTGACCCATGGTGTTTGCTCACACGGCCCAGCCTGATGGTCATTTTTGGGTCCAGGGCCTTTGGGGGCAGACTAGAGATCCTTCCCAATGGAAGGAGCTGTCAGCGGAAATCCTTTTGGAATGTCATTTATAAACCCTGGCCTGTCACCCTTCTCTGTGTCCCCTATCCTTCTGGAAAGCCCTGTAGCATTCTGGGACCAGGGCAGGGCTTACTGTGGCTTTCAGGCAGGGACAAAAGCAAGAGAGATGGCTGAGCCTGAGCAGCCCAGGGTCTGTCTGGCTGGTCCAGGCTAGTGGTTGGGCCGCCTAAGAGAGAAGACAGAGTGGTCCTGCCCATGCCCTCCGGGCTGCCTTAGGGGTGGCCTGCAGTCAAGCTGCTCTTCAGACACCTGACATGGTCAGATGAGGATCTGCTGGACCTTTTCACAAACGGTTCCTCACAGCATCGCCAGATGCCTCTGTGATGTAGGCACTTAGGAGGCACTTGAGTGTTGTGGTTAGAGTGCAGCTATCAGCCAGATCTAGCTTCAAATCCAAGCGCTGCCAGTCACCCGCTGTGTGACCTTGGGTAAGTCACTTCACCTCTGAGCCCCATGTTCCTCATCTGTACAATGAGGCTTATGAGAGAACTACCTCATTGGGCTGTCATGGGGATCCGATATGATGAAATATGCAAAGGGTTTGGCATAGCGCACTGTACTTGGAAAGTGCTCAATAAATGTTTTTTTCAAAATGAGTATCCACATGGCTCAGGTCCTAGCTTTGGCAGTTTCTTTCTTAGTCCCTAGGTGGCAGCATTCCCCCCTCCAAAGTGTGTGGGGGCTGAGGAGTGGGGGGGGGGCCCTCATACAAGGCTGGGTTGCCCCAATAGCCATGGAGAGGTTTGGTGCTCCCAGAATGGTCATTTCAGAATATAGCCCCTGGAACCACCCAGAGGAAGGGGTTTATACTCGCTTTTGAAAATGCAGGATCCGGGCCTCACCCCAAACCTTTGGAATCAGAAACTGACGAGAGCCAGAGGTCCGATCTTGAACAGGCCTCTGGATGGCTGTAGATGTCCTCAATTCCCTTCCCCGTCCCCAGCTAGTTCAGGGGGAAGCAAACCAGGCTCATCGGGAGGCAGGGAGAGAGTAAAGAGGCCTCGACTGACGTTTCTTCATTTATCTTTACAACCACCCTACTGTGCCGCATTGCCTGTTATAGGCGAGAAAACAAACTCAGGAGGGGACAGGGTAGGATGCGGTAGAACTGTTGGACTCAGTTTGATGACTGCGTTTCCTTCAAGGCTGATGCATCCCTCAGACATCTGTGCTGGGGCCCAGGGCTGGAGCTCAGAGCAAGCCCAACTTCCCCTCATCCTCAAGGCTACGATGCAGTGGAAGAGACAGATGAAGCAGTAGTGCACAGCGGAGTGGGTGAGGGCTATAAGGTTACCCAGCCCTCAAAAAGGCCAGGAGAGAGGCTGGTGGGGACAGGAAGTCTCTTCAGAGGAAGTGACATTTGAGCTGGGCCTGGACAGTGTTTTGATGGGTGAATAGTTAGGGGAAATCATGCCAGGGAGAGCAAGGCACAGACTGCGAGGTCTGACAGTGCACGGCCTGTTGTATTCCAGGGCTGGTGAGTGGTCCAGGGTGACCAGAGATTGGAGGGTCGTGGGTAGATCATGGTAACTGCTAATATGTTCAAGCTTCCATTTGGACATGTCATGGACACTGTACTAAGCCTTTCATGTCACATCACCTCAGCCCCATCAGGTGAGAAGTGTTACTTATTTTTACAGATGTGGAAACAGGCACAGAGAGGCAAAGTTCCTCACCCAAGCTCACACAGCTAGTAAGTCACAGAACTGGGATTCAGGCTGGGGCAGCCTGCCTCCATGTGCTGTTAGCTACTTTGTTTTATTGAAATATGGGTTGACGTCGGATCAGAGAGATTCTTGGATGTTGGGTTAAGGAATTTGAACTTTATTCTCTACATAGTAGATGAGTCATGGGAGGCATTAAACATTTTTTTGTTCATTGTGATATTAAAGGAAATGTTAAAAACCACATTTTCATCCTAATACAGCTGTTTACATTATATTTCTGTCTCTTCCTGTCAGTGCATGCATGTATGAACATTTACCAGTAATCATGAGGGCTGACATTTACTAGGCCCTTATGCTGTGCCTGGCACGTCCTAAGCACTTTCGAGTAGGTGCTACTTTTTTTTTTTTTTTTAGCTGAGCCATCCTGCCACCTGTTGGCAGCTCAGCGGCAGCTCAGCTTGGGCCAGACTCGAACCACTGTTACTCAGAGCTCAAACCCTTGAGCAAGCTCTTAACCAACTAAGCCACTCGGCCGGCCCGGTGCTACTTTTAATCCTATTTTACAGCTGAAATGAGGCAACAGGCACAGTGAGGTTAAGCAGACCGAAGTCAAACATCAGTAAGTGACAGCCAGGCCACAGAACAAGGGACATAATCAAGATCAGGGCTAATATTTAATAGATGCAGAATTCAACTATTGGGAAGGAGGCTGGAACTATATTGGTGTTCCCATAGCTAAACCCCTCCTAAGTTGGCAGACAGGGAGGCTGAGGTCCAGAGAGGGGGAAGCCCCTTGGTCAAGGGTCACTCAGAGTTGATGATAAAACTGCTCCAGGACCCCAGGGCTTACAGAGCCCTGAGATGCTGAACAGGGTATAGTGTAAGAGGGGTTGGCCTAGGCATCCAGGGTCCCACAGATTTTGGCATCAGAAAGAGCTGGCTCTGAATCCTGACTCTGACCCCAGCTGTGTGACTGTGGCAAGTCACTTCACCTCTCTGAACCTTGATGTACTCATATGTCAAATGGAGAGAATAATAGTACCTACCTGATGAGGTGTTGTCACAATTCAGAGAGAATTCAAGTAAAGCAGAGTTCACGGGCCAGCCGAGTGGCTCAGTTGGTTAAGAGTGCAAGCTCTGAACAACAGGGTCGCTAGTTCGATTCCCACATGGGCCAGTGAGCTGTGCCTGAGCTGAGCTTCCAACAGGTGGCAGGATGACTCAGCTGGTGAGAGCAGCTGCTCCTAACAACAAGGTTGCTGGTTTGACTCCTGCATGGGATGGTGGGCTACGCCCACTCACAACTAAGATTGAACATGCCCCTTGAGCTGAGCGGCCGCAAGCTACTGAGGGCGGCCGGATGGCGACTGGACTTGGAGCTGACCTAGTTGCACCCTCCACAACTAAGACTGAAGGACAACAACTTGGCTGTTCCCCTTCCCCAGTTCCCAAACACTGTTCCCCTTCCCTAATTCCCTAATAAAATCTTAAAAAAAAAAAAAGAAAAGAAAGAATTCACAAATTGGCAGCCCAAGGGTTGAACTCAGCCTACAGACAGACATTGTTTAGCTTTCACAATATTTGAAAAAAATCAGCCAACATTTAAAAATAATGAAATTAAAAACCTACTCCAACAGTGAAAAATTAGATGTATTCCCTCTGTGTCAGGAATAAGACAAGGATGCCTACTTTCATGACCCCAACATTTTGCTGGAGGTCTAACTGAAACAATAAGGGAAGAAAAAGAAATAAATGATATTAGGGTCAGAAAGGGTGAAATAATAGCAAGGGTGCTGAAATAATAGCAAGATCAATATAGAAACATTTACCGTGTTCCCATATCCAGAAGCAATTAGAAAATCTAATTAAAATTGGGAGGTTTCACCTAAAACTGGATTTCCGACTTCTAAGATTAAAAATGGGGTATCTGGCACACTGGGCTTCAGTCAGAGCTGGCTAGCCATTCCCTTTCAATGGGCACATGCATTTCATATGACCATAGTTCCCATGTTGTCTCCCTGACATTGCAACTGAATGGCAGTTGCTACTTACTGTACTTGTGTTGATTTATTGGGTTGTCAGAAAAGTCATGATGCATTTTTGCAAGAAAGACAGAAAAATAAGTCATGACTTTTCTGACAGCCTAATATCTTAGAGAAGAGAAATATTTCTAATTTCCCATGTCTCTCAAAAGTGGGAAAACAAGATGGCTAGAGAGGATCACATGATTTTTCATTTTCTTGGCCCAGTGTACTCATCCATCTTACTGTCTAGGCTCTGTGGGTATATGACTTGAGGAACCCTGTAAATCTTGCTTCCTTTTCTCCCTCCCACTTCCAGTCCTCTGTTTGCCTCTAAGCTAGCTGGCCTCAGCTTCTTTATTGATAAATGTGGGGAGTTTAGTTGTGGCTAACTCTAGGGACTGTCTTAAGTGCCAAGCCCTGTGCTCTTGCCTTATTTACATGTCACTGAGTCCTCAAGACACTCCTTGGGAGCAAGCTCTCTTATCATGCTCAGTGTACAGATGGGGAAACACAAGGCTCAGAGAGGTGTAGCTACCTGCCCAAGGACTCACAGCCAGAATGTGTGGAGCTGGGCTTCAAACTCAGGACTCCAATTTCGTGCCTTGTTTTAGGATCTCTAAAGCTCTCACCAGCTCTGATGAGGTGGGTTTTATTTGGAACCACTTCTTCAAGGCTCCAACCACTGCTCATCTCCTTGGCCACCACTATCCTGTCCAGGCTGCTAGCCTCTTGCATGGATGACTGTATCAGCCTTCTGTTTGGCCTCCCTGCTTTCTCTCTTCCCCCACCATGATCCATTCTCTAGACAGCAGCCCAAGAGATCTTTCTAGAGCCTGAATCAGATTATGCCACTTGCCTGTTTAAAACCCTCTGGTGGATTTTGATTTCTCCCAGAATGAAATTGGAAAGTTCTCCCCATAGATTTCAAGGTTCTACATGATGCAGCCCTCATCTCCTACCACTCTTTTCTTCTCTCACTCCACTCTGGTTACACCTACCCTCTTGCTGCCCCCCCCCCACCATCGTATAAGCTAGTTCCTGCCTTAGGGCCTTTGCACTTGCTGTTCCCTCTGTCTAGAATGTTATTCTCCTAGGTTTTCATGTGGTTCGCTCTTTCCCTCTATTCACCTTTCTCCAAAAGTCCCTCTGAGAGGCCTTCCCTAGTCAATCTATCTAAAATGGTTTCCACCCCACCCCTATCACACTCTAGTTCCTTACCCTGCTTCATTTTTATTCAGCACGCTTGACATTATATTAGACATTTCTATATTGTCTGTTCCCTTCATTAGAACCAAAAGGTCCACAAGGTCAAAGACTTTTGTCTATTTTGTTCTCTGTTATTTTTACAATGCCTAGAACTGCCCAGGAATTGCTCAATCAATATTTGTTGAGTGAATGAGAAAACAAGGCACACTCTACCCACCCCCTCCTCCCATTCCATGGAGGTCGAGGATCAGTTTCCCCCAGTAAGAATCTGCCATGTGGGCTGAGAAATGGCTGATCCAAAGCCCTGGAAGTTAATACCTGATAGAACGCTTTCCATTTTTAAGAGGGAGCTGAGAATATCTGGGACAAGTGACAGAGGCAGTGGCTTGGAAGTCTCAGTTGACTGAGCAGGTATCCCCTGTGGCCCAGGAGAACCAGTTGGACCAGTTTTGTCTCCCCTGAGGAGGGAGGAGTGGAGGTGGCAACTGCAGGTGCTCCCAACCCTCAAGGCTGCCAGCAAGTGACCCCATGGATTCTCAAAGACCTGAAAGGTGGTGGTCAGGGAGGTTAGCGGCTTCCACCTCAGGGTTGGGAATGACCCCCCTCTCGCCAAGAGTGGTTGGTGTGTGGTCAGGCACAGAATCCTGAAGCAGGAGGCAGAGGCCCAACTTAAGAGCCTTGGGCCCTTTGTAGAATCAGAGAAT